AACCCTCTGGGTGGTTTCTGAGCAGGGTGCACAGTGGAGACCCCAGGGCAGTGTGGGGTGGGGTTTGTAGCTAAGTGGGGCCTTGGGGGCATGGGGCTGGAGGAAGTCAATGCCCCTGCCTCTTATACATTAGGCAATAGGCGGGCTAGTTATTTAGAGGAGGGGGATTCTGTGTACGGGTTTGGAATTCAGAGGGGGGAGGAGTGGGACCCTCTGTTATAATCTGGCTTTCGGGTGGCCCATTTTGAGCCCTGAGAAACCACGGCTCAGTGTGGGTGGGGTGCACTGAGCAAGAGCAGCCTGGACCCACCCGGAGGAGCCTGGGGGCAGCCTCCCTGTGCCTGCTGATGGGGCTGCCACCAGGACTAGGTGCTCTGAGGAACCCTGCCTCAGGTCCCCGACTTCTCCTCTCAGTCCACCGACAGAGGCAGTGGGGAAAACAACAACAACAAATTCTTGACAATTTATAGAAAGCCGCCCTACTTCTTATCTCCGGGCGCCCCAGGGCAGCCCTCTCGGGGCTGGCGCCAGTCTCTCTTGAGTCACCAACTCACTCGTTTAGATAGAGATACAAGGAACTTCTGGTCTGTTTTGAAAAACAAATAAAAACTCTCATGACGTCAGCTTCACTTTCCACGCACACAAGAGCCCTGGTGGCATAGAAGCCCAGAAAGTCACCACTATGCCACCAGGTCAGCAGTTCGGAACCACCAGCCACTCCATGGGAGAAAGATGAGGCTTTCTATTCCCATAAAGGCTTACTGTCTCGAAAACCCACAGGCTTAGTTCCATTTGCTCCTATAGGGTAGCCTTGTGGATCAGAATGGATTCAACTCGACGGCAGTGAGCTCGGGTTTATTTTTGTTTTGTGCATTCAGGCAGGAGCCCCAGGAAGATGTAAAGAAGCACTCAGTGACCCAGGCCGACAGCACGTGGGGGTGCTCCACAGGAGGGTGCTGCCTGGGCCCCGCTTCTCCCCACACCCTCGCGGTTTCATTCACTCGGCTCTGATCTCCGATGCTGGGTGGTGGGGAGGACAGTTCTCCCAGCACAGGGGAAATTTGGGGTCTAGGACAGTGTTGTCTAATGTCAGCTCTCCATCCCTGGCCACTTGGGGGTCACCCCGGCCCATCCAACCCCTTGGGAGTTCTAGCTCCCCTTTTGCTGATGCGGCGTTGACTGCTGCCTGAGGCACCCACATGCGTTACCACGGAGAACTGCTCCTGAGGGCTTTCTAACGGGATCCTCTTGGAAGCAGGTCGCCAGGTCTTTCTTCTGCAGCACCACGGGGTAAGTTCCACCCTTCTGGTTAACCGTGGAGAGCAAACCGCGTATCCCAACTAGGAGCTTGAGTAAATCTCTCCCCGGCCCAGGCCTCGTATTCATTCCATCTTTCATTCATTCGAAATTAACTCCCACTCTGGCCAAGAGCAAAGACAGCCTCGTCCCTAAAGGAGTTTGCAGAATGGAATGTCCCTGATCCCCGCTCTCTGAGCCTGGTGAGAAAATGGGCCTTCAGAGGCAGCCCCCGCATTCCATGACTGCCCAGAAGGTGGCAGCACAGTGGCTAAGAAATGCTCCCAGGGAGGGCGGCCTGGGAGGTGGTCCTTCTGGGTTGGATGGCCTACAAAGCGCTGCCTTATTTTCTGCAGAGGAGGAAGAGACCCGGCCCCTGCCCAGAAGCCACGATACTCATGACCCTTTGTCTTTATGAATTAGTGACCGCGACTGGTAAAAGTAACAGAAGGCACTGGAGCATTTATGATCAGGATGCTGTGGCATCTCAGGGAAGCCAAGGACCAGACCCAGAGCTCACTATTGGTCCTCTCAGTTCTTTGGGCAGCGGCCTGAATCTCATGTCACCTTTGCACTGGGATTTCTTGTTCCTCAAGACGGGAACTGTGGCCATAGCAGCTTAGCTCGTGTGTCCCAGGCAAAACCAGCCAGGAAGACTTCCGAATTCCAAGACAAGCGATTGGGCCCATCTCATCCTGGGTCTGGTGCCCCACGCTGGTGCCAGTAAGTGGGGACAATCTGCAAGCCCTGGGCAGCCAGCATGTGGCCCCGGGAGCCCCTCCCCAATACAGATGTGCAGCCGCGAGTTTGGGTTTGCAAGGCCAGCCTCAGAGGCTGACCTACGTTCCCAGGGACTAGGTACCTTGGGCTTCACCACAGACCGCAGCAGGGGGTGATGGTGCCCTGGGGCTCTTGCCTTCTTTGTGCCCCCAACTGGATGGCTTTCACCTGCAAGTACCTACCGCTGTGCCTGAGGGAGCAGCCCACCCAGGACTGCTTGCAGTTGGTGGGTAAATTCTCCAGCTCCTGATGCCAGCAAGGGGAAGTCTGGCACGTCCCCTCCATTAACTTTGAGGTTCCCGTGGGAAACCTGTGACCCCGCATCTCCACGGGCTGCGTTCCCTCATGTCCTGCCCCTCTCCCACTCATAGTCCCGGTGAACAGCTGAGCCCACAGTCCTGATCGGTGGGCCAGCTTCCGGAAACCCAATCTAAGACCCTGTGGCCTAAACCACGCGGTGGTAACCAGTCTGAAACACAAGAGCACACACCACTTCCTAATTTGACGGTTGCCTTTCTTTCTAAAAATAGATCTTTTATTAAAACAGCATAGGGTAAATGCCAACAAGCATCAGGACATTATTTAAATAGAATATAAATATAGAAAAAAATTAAGAGTTAAATAAATAAAAATACAGGGCCATATAGAACCTTCTCGGTTATGCCGGGGAATCAGACAGGCTGCTTTAAGCTCGGGCCCTTGAGGCTCTTCACGGCGGCAGGGAGCTGGGCCTGGCGGCTGTCTCTGCCCAGGTGGATGGGAAGGGCACACACTTGGCTCCGGGCACAGAACACTTGCTTGACGCCCCCGCTCTTCCCAGTGCATTCCAGATTCTTGGTTCCACTTGACAACGTGAGTATCGAGGAGCCAGACTTCAGAGTTACTGACCCCAGCCCTCCAGCCTCTCTCTGAAGCCACTGTGGGTGTACTCAATGCCATGGAGTTGTCCTCTTAAAACGAGCGTCGTGAGCCATTTCATGCTGTGTGAGATGTGCCTCAGTAAGAAAAACAACAGCAGGGTTTAAGAGTGACGTGGGTCTGCCACCCAAGCCTGGCACAAGAGGGCTGGGAACTTTCGAGTTTCTATACAAAATATCCGCCCAACACGGGGCATTTCCCTGGGAGAAGCAGGCCGAGTCAGCTCCCTTGTGACATCCGCTTCTTCCTCATTGGAGCTCAGTGATGTGGAGCAGCTCATGGCAGGGGAAGCCCGTGTGTGGGGTGGTGGTGGTGGTGGTGGTGGTGGCAGTGTGTGTGTGCATGTGTGGTGTGTAGACCGAGAGTGAGAGGGTCTCCCCTGCAGTGGTGGCGGTGTCCTGTCAGTTCAGTGACCCTCAGAAACCCTGGCTGTGACTTTGGTACTTTGTTGACCCGGCCAAGGAGCCAGGCATCGGGCCAGCTGGGTAGAGATCAAATGTCTCACCCTTAAACCACCAGAATGTCCATCAACAGATGAGGGGACAAGATGTGGTAGGGACATTCAGAAGGCCTGAGTGAGCCCCGCACGTCAGCTGTGCCAAGTCAGGCAGAAGGACAAACGGTGTACGAGCTCGCTCCCTGACACGGAGTGAGCAAATATGTAAAAGCCAAAGGTCATTAGTGATTCCCAGGGCAGGAGGGCAGGGGGGAGGGGTTTGTATCAGACGCTGAGTCGATGCCAATGGCAGCAACACTATCTGGCAAAGGACAGAGGGAAGAAAATGCCGCTGGATTGTAGCAGGTGGAAATTGCTGGATTGGCGTTTTGTTGCATGTTATTTTTACCAGAATTAAAAGTAAACAAACTCACCCTTAGAGGCATTCACAACAACTGGGCATGTGGGCACCGGACAGTGCCTTAGAGCTTGCTGGTGACCTGCACCAGTCCTTTTGCCCCTCTGGGACTCAGCTTCTTCAGGGGCGTCCCCTTTTGACAGGCACTCCAGGACCACTGTGGTTGTCTTCCTCTACGGCAGTGGAGCCCCTAAACAGAAGCCCACATGGAAGGCCACTGTCTCAAAACCATGGCAGAGTAAAGCTGAAGTAAGGCTGAAGTGGGGGCCCCCTAAAGGGTCCCCCTTCCCTGGAATCCAAGGCTTCTCTGGTCGGGAACAGCTGGAGGACCCGTGCACCCTACGACCTCTAGGATGTCATTTAAAAGGTACCCACTCATGTTGGCTTTCAATGACGTAGCCCTGGGGACAAAATGAGCACAGACAGCCTTTTGTTGACGCATGGAGACACCCAGACATCCGGACAGGTTAGATGGTGCAGCTCGGGCCATGAGGTCAGCTCCCTGGTCACAGGACATGCAGAAATGTTGGTCCTCCAACAGTGAGAGTCTGCAGACAGGAGTGCAGTGTAACCCAGGGACTGTCCCATGGAGGGACAGCGACCCGTTCCCATGGAAACACTGGCCTCTCAGAACTGGAAGGGACAGGAAGACTTCTGACCACGAGAGTCAGCAAAAGAGTCAAGCATACGGTCCCAAACAGAGGTGACAGACCCCGGTTGCTCCCCCACCTTCCTCACACTGGACCCCTGGAAGGCAGATGGGTTAGCTCCTGCCCTTGGACGCAGAGTTCTTACTGCTGACAACAGGCAGGTGGCGGTCCTGGGTCCCGCTGGCTCTGGCCCTGGCTCCTGGGAGCTCAGTTTCCGGGGCACGATGGGGGGGCAGGGAGGGCCAGGTCAGAGGGAGTGCGCTGGAGGAAGACGCATGGCTCTGGCAGAGCAGAGGTGTCTCCTGTGGGGCCAGCCCTTAGGTGATGCCAGCTCTGATGCCCCCTGTGAGCTGACCTCACCCACTGCGTGCTGGGCACCCCAAGGTGCCATGAACACCCTGGCACCTCAATGCCGTAGGCAGGTTCTCAAGTGGTGCCTCGGCTCCTTGGGGAGGGAAGGCTGCAGCCCTGGCAGCAGCCCCTGCGGGGAAGCCGGCACAGCTCACCTTGCCATGTAATGCCCAAGGAGCCCTGCCCTAGCCTCAGTCCTCTGGCAGCTCCCAGCGCCCCAGCTGCCGCTGTCGCTGCTGCCGCCCTCTGTTTCCCATTCCTCCCCATCTTCCTCCTCCTCCTCCTCTTCTGGGCTGCTGTTCCAGCAGAAGGTGAGTGTCTGAACAGAAACGGGAGAGTCCTCAGGGACCAGATTGAGCTCTGCTGGGGAAGACTCCCAGGGGGTCCAAGATGAGAGGTCATCACATGGGGGTCCTATCAGAGAGCCTGGGTCTTCCGAGAATTCCGGTAGCGGGGGAGGCTCAAAAGGCCCAATGCCAGCCACGTCCTCACCTGGCTCCTTGTTGGCCAGCCAGCTGCCAGACCCAGTCTCATCCCAGAAGGCGGAATCCAGAGTGCTGGCCCAGCTTCTTCCTGAAGAGCCCCCAGCGGAGGAGCCTTGAACCTGGACTGGTGCGTGGAGCCCCCCTTCCCAGTGCATTCCAGATTCTTGGTTCCACTTGACAACGTGAGTATCGAGGGCTTCATGTGCCCCTTGGTAGCCAGGGGATCTGACCAGAATACAGCCTTTGGGACAGACAAATCTGCCTACCTGCTGCTCCATGTCAAGTCACTG